GGTGTAACTGTGCACATGAAACTCTGGCTGAACATAGGCTCTTTTTGTGTCCATCTCCCTGTTTGGGCAGGTAGCAGCTCAAAGCAGGAGGGTAAAACACATTCTTGCCCAAGAGAGTTTTGCTACGGCCTTTGTGGACACAAGGTTGGGGGCTTGAGATCAGGTGCCATTCTACCACTTCATTAAAGCCCTTGTCACCCTGTGTCCCTGGCTGTCACTTCTATCGAGCCCCCACGTAGTGCTTTCCCCTCTGACCTCCTACTGAGTGCTCCCACTGAGCTACTGCGGAGGCTTGTCCCTCACCAAAGAGCTTGTTGGTCCTTCTGCCTGTCTCCGGTCTCCCACCAGACCATCCTATGTCCTCATCTCTTGTCCATGCCAAGTGCACTGCAGTAAGGCTTTGTGGTGTTGCAAGTGGCAAACGACTCCTGTTTTCTGATGTGTCCCATGGTCTGGTCCTCTTCTTAGCTGCACTGAGAGCTGGTGAAGGTTAAAATGCTCTTGGAGGGGTCTGAGCATGTATTAATGATGAAAATTGAAACATCTGAAGCTAGTAAGAACCTAATAGGAGATGGGGAAGATGATGACAAAAGCTGCTCTATTAAACAAGTAGCTGGAGGTTCCTAGGAAAACTGCTGCCACCGTAATAAATCTAATCCTTTGGGCCTGGGAGGAAATTCCAGTGTAGCCAGGACCTCTGCTCTGGTCTTAGTACAGCTGTGCTGGTGGAGGCAGATGCGTTCTTGCTGGGACCTGACACAGGAAAGCAAGTGTTGCCCCTTCCACAGATGAAAAGAGGCTTTTCAAGCTGCCCTGGCACTAGAAGACTTGCCTCGTAGTCACGATTGGCTGAGCTGTGACTGTTTTTACTGGGATGAAGCAGGGACTGAATGTGAATAAGCACAGTCTGGGCTTGCTTGAAGGAAATGGGAACTATCAGGAGGGATAGATACTGGTGTCTGCCTGGCTGCAGCAGGCGGGAGAGGACCTTTGTCCTGCTGCACTTCTCTCGTTATCCTAAAGGTCTGAAATGCTGTTGCGGTGGAAATGTGAATGAGAAATTTCCCCTCTGTCTCGTGTGTGGTAACTCCTCCTCCCGCAGGGATGAATCCTTCTCCAACAGAAAAACTGAAGTAGTCTTGGTAGGTAAAACCCTCCTTTAAAAAGCTGCTGCTGGGCTTCCTTAGAGGCATTGGCATTTGATCTGTGACTGTGTGTTCCCCCAGATTTCCCCGACGGATGAAGAAATGAGCAAGTTAAGGGGTGTGAGTGAAAAGGGCAGAGCCATGTGTTGCACTCTGGCAGTGGAAACCAGCTGGGTTGTCTTTCCAGGGACCATGAGTCTGAAAGCAGGAGCTTCTCATGCGTGAAGGAGGTCAGACTTGGGCTGCTCTCTCCAAACCTGGTTGTGGCTTTCATGCTGAGCTGGATTGGGTGGGCAGGGATGAGCTCCGTGTGACTCCAGTAAGCCAGGAGCTAAGCTGCTCTGAAGACCTGTGAACAGAAAGGGCTCCAGGCACTTTCCCTCAGTTCCTCTTGTGTGGTTGACTTTGGCCAGGCTCCTTGCAAGTTGCAAATACCTTGCAGAGAGCAAGATCTGTGGTAGACTGAGAACAGCAAAGAGGTGTGCTAGCTTACTGTGCCATGACCCTATTTCCTTGCCTGTTCCTTCACCATAGACTGAGCTGAAGGAACAAATTTGGTCTGGTCCTACGTTGTTGCCTTGCCTTGGGGAGAGTGATCATAGAATCACAGACTGGTTTGGGTTGGAAGGGACCTTAAAGCTCTTCCAGTCCCAATCCCCCTGCCATCAGCCCTTGGCCAAAGTCCCTCCCCAGCCTTCCTGGAGCCCCTTCAGGTACTGGGAGACTACTAGAAGGTCTCCCCAGAGCCTTCTCTTCTCCAGGCTGAACAGCTCCAACTCTCTCAGCCTGTCCTCACAGCAGAGTTGCTTCAGCCCTCGGATCCTGCCTATGATCTTTCCCGAAAGCTACTGGGTTGCACTAAGCAAATGTGCATGTGTGAGGGCAGATGGTAGAGCTGGGAAATGACCTGCTGTATGGCCTGGCACACCTTGTGGAGATGCATCTATGTGAGGGTGCAGATGCTTGTATTTACCAGGAGCCAGCTGCTTACTGCAAGGGACTTACCCTCTGTTCTCATAAACAGGTCCTTCTTGCTGTCCTGGAGATTGCAATCATCTCCATGGTGAGGGTGGCACAAATGGGGCGGGGGATAATGACCTTGTGGATTAAAGGGCAAGAGAAGGTTTTCCAGTACGTGAAGCTTGTGCTGGTTGCTGTGGTTCTAGACTGAGCGTTCCTGGAAAGGCAGGCTGCAAACACAGAAGGGCTCTCTGTGAAAATAGTGGGGCCAGGAGGTGCTATCCCCAGCCCTGCAGCGTGGAGAGAAAGAGGTAGCACATGTTTGAGGAGCTCAGGTGTGGATTTGTTCATGGACATGCCCTTTGAGCGTGTTTGAGAGGCAGGAAGCCCATCGAATAAAAACGACTGAAATCTGCCTCTAACTGGCCCTGCTCGCCTGCCTTTGATGTGGTTCCAGGGGAAGCAGGGCTGCGCCGCGTCCTCCTTGTTAGCGCAGAAATAGAAAAGCCAGCAGCATGGTGTGCAGAGCCTTCCTGGCCCTGCCCTAACCCCAGGCCCCCCGCGCCGCCCTTACGTTCCCTTTCTTCAGTACTGAGGTACATGTGGGAAGCCTGAACCCTGAACAGAGCTCCAGCTCCAGAGGTGCACAGCTCCTTCTGCCATTCTCCTTCAGGCCTGATGTCGGTTCTTTTGGAGCAGCTCCTACCAAGGAGCTTCTTCATGTCTTTTCCATCATCTAACTTTTTAGAGTTATAGCTCTAGCAGTGAGAGCGAGGGGGTGTAAAACCCCAAATATCCCGTTTCTCCAGCATCTGTGCCGCTTCCCTGAGCTGCTGAGGGACATTTACAAAGGTGTCTTCTGCTGACTGGAAGGAAACCTCATCTCACTTGATGTTCTTCAGATTCTTGGCTTGGTTGGCTTACGACTCAGCTGGTGGTGAAGGTGCCCAGAGCACCACTCCTGTTCATGCTGGGGACGCTTATCCTCCCAGCTGCTTGTGTTTACATGAGGCCTTGATCTCTTACTTGGAGAAGGCCACCAGCCTTTTTTATATTCCCAGTCTTTATTGCCTTCTCTAACTGGACTGGAAGAACTGGGAGGTGATTTTTCCTCTCTGCTCAGCCCTGGTGGAGGCATCACCTGGAGTGCTGTGCAGGCTGAACAGCTCCAACAGTGCAGGAGAAACATGGAGATACTGGAGAGAAGGGCCACAGAGGGCTGGTGTTGGTGGCACTTGCGCTGAGTGCCCTGGTCCCAGACTGAATGTCCCGTTACTGTTGTGCCACAAACAGGATCTGCTAATCCTGTGTAACGTAAGCAGAGAACTTGGTTGGGACCGCCATCACAACGTGGGCTAATGTGAAAAACCATATGGCTTTTGATGGCAGAGGTGTGAAAGGGCTTGTGTGGATTTTTGTGAGGGTGGGAATGAAGGTTGTGCCAAAGCTGCCATCCCTGTTGTTTTTGGAAGGGAGCGGGGCTACAGAAACGCGACTCTTTCTCCGTATTCTTGGCAAGGTGGGGCAGTGCTGCTGGCAGTGAAGCTGAGCTCGAGTCAGGCTGTCTGCAGATTCCCCTTTGCTGGTGTCCTACCACTCGTGCTTTTGCACGAGCATGGCAATCCAAGGAGAGCACTGGGAATGCTGGAAGGACAAATGTTCCCAGCTATCTTGTGGGAAGGTGTGGGGAAGCTGGAGCTGGGCTCCTCTTGGAGCTGTGTGGAGTTTGGATGAGAGACTGATTAGCTTTTAAGAAAAGCTAATTTTCATTGTGAGTGTGGTCAGGCACTGAAGCAGAGCCCCAGGGAGGCTGTGAGATATACGTCCTTGCAGATAACTCGAAGTTCAGCTGGACAAAGCCCTGAGCAGCTGGAGCTGGCCATGCTTGGAGCAGGACATTGGGCTTCCAGAAATCCCTTCCGATCTAACTCTCTTCAGTGGTAGGCAGGAGATGCCCAGATGGCGTGGTTCAGCTGTAGCAGAAATCACAGCCTGGGACTGTGCTTCACTCCCTTTTCCTAGGCTGGCATGATGAGGGGACATTGAGCAGGTAGGTGCCCTACTAGTCCTTCATGGGAAGGGTGCATCTCTCTGGAGATGCTCACAGGGACTGAAGATGCATGCCCGTCTGGTGCCAGGTGCTGTTTTTTGTGATATTTATATTTGTATTGTGACAGACTTGCTCTTGCTTTCCTCCAGGTACAGCTACATGATTGACAATGTCATTCTGCTCATCACTGGGACTCTGCACCAGCGTTCCATCTCTGAACTAGTGCCCAAGTGCCATCCTCTGGGAAGTTTTGAGCAGATGGAAGCCGTGAACATTGCTCAGACACCTGCGGAGCTTTACAATGCGATCCTGGTGGACACTCCCCTGGGTGAGCAGAGCCTTCCAAAATACCTCTCAGCTGTGTGTGGAGCAGATGTCCCTTTCTTCCCCCCACTTTAACTAGGTCCAACTAAGTCTGAAGTTGTGCTCCAGGAAGACAAAGCAATGGGTGACACATGGATTTGGCCGTACTGCCTGTGGTAGCTGGGCTTGAATTCAGGTTTCTGCTTGTCCTATGCCAGGTTTTCCTCTTGAGGAGCAGCTATTTCTCTGTACACTTCAACAAATGTCCAAACCAGCACACACTGGTAGTGCAGGCTGTTGGGGAGCTTGGTTTGTGTAAGCCAAGCCTTGAGCTGTCACAGCAGCACAGGTGTCGTTAGATCTCATCTGCTAGATATGTCCATTTACCAGCTCTCCTGGGAATCGTCACCTGAAATTAGGGAGGAAGGAGAAAGATTTGAGAGGCCTGAGACGATGCAGTGTTTTTAATAATTGTCATGGGACACATGGCACACGTGCTTCCTTCATGAAGGGCTGTTGGGTCCTCTGCTGGAATGAGTCACTTAATTTCCAGCACTTTTAGTTGGACCATTGGGAAATTTCTTCTAGGCAATTTTTGTAGATAATTATGAGATATGCACATTCCCAGTCTTGTTCTGAGATGGATAAAATTAGCTGTAGATCAAGGAAAGCTCTTCATTTACCAAAATATCCCAACCAGCGACAGAAAAAGAAAAGAAAAAGAAAGAAATCTCCGAAAGTCTTTCTGAGCTCATTGTGTAGCAGGATCCTTCACTGAGGTGTACTGTCTGAGGGCTTCAAGCCTTGACCAGGAGGTGCATGACACCAAAACCAAGTGTCTTATGAAGAGTAAGACATAAGTTCTTTAAAGATAAAAGGTGTATGAAGTAGTTCTGGAGAAAATATGAAATTCTTTTTGCAGTAGTAGGAGAAGTAGTCACAGGAGACTTTCTAGGTGAGCCTCTGCGGGCAAAAAAGTGACGAGGTACGACTGAGTCAGTGATTAATCATTCTTTTGGGATTGCTAGAAAGAACAAAACACTTCAAATCATCGTATTGTCTTTGATAGAAATAGTTGTTTTTTTGAACTGAAAGTGCTTTTGCAAATGTTCTGTGTAATAATGGGGCAAGTGAAGTAATTGTCATGGAAAAATGATTTGCCAGATAGAGCCCAGCAAAGGAGAGAAAACATGTTTCAAGAGATCTGGGTTGCAACGTAGGACAACAGCGCAGCAGGAGCACCGAGGCTCTGCGTGCAGCTGGGTTGAGCCTGCTGTAGGAATGATGTGTGGGAAGAAAATCCTCCTCACGAGTAAGTGGGAACCTTCCCATTTTGGGAATAAGATAGAACTGAGTATTTAAAAAATGTTACCTCCCAGAGACCTTGAAACTTCCAGCTGTGTGAAATGTCCCCGTTACAGTGGTGAGGTGGTTCTGGAGAAGGCAGGGGGCAGTTGAGGGTCGTTGCTTCTTGCAATCATAGATCATAGAACGGTTTGGGTTGGAAGGGACCTCAGAGCTCATCCAGTCCCAACCCCCCTGCCAGCAGCAGGGACACCTTCCACTAGACCAGGTCTAGACCAGGTTGCTCAAAGCCTCATCCAGCCTGGCCTTCAACACTTCCAGGGAGGAGCTTCCACAGCTTCTCTGGCCAACCTGGGCCAGTGTCTCACCATCCTCACACTGAAGAATTTCTTCCTAATATCTAATCTAAACCTCCCCTCTTCCACTTTAGAGCCATTTCCCCTTGTTCTGTCATTAACTGCCCTTATAAAAAGTCCCTCCCCAGCCTTCCTGGAGCCCCTTCAGGTACTGGAAGGTCGCTAGAAGATGCAGTGTACATGTAATCGTGGACTTGTACACTTGCACATGAGTGAGCTTTGCCTGCTTCTGCCCTGGCTAGACTGAGATCTTCAGACCTTTGCCCAGGTCATGCCCTTGAGGTTGTGT